ACCAAGGGTTGCGATCCCATTACCAGTCAGTAAAAAAGACAAAAAGGAAAAAAAAAAAAAAGCAGGATGATCTAAGCATGCAAATTATTTATGACAAGATAAGAAAAAACCATCCCTTCTTTTTTCCCTTGAAATCCAAACTATGATAAAGGAAAGAAAGACATCAGCAAGTTTGAGCGAAATGTTTACATTTATATTGAAATTTACACTAAAACAGAATGAGTTCTACTAGTCAATGAAACTTTGCCAAAGCAGAATCACAAACTTCTGTTGGGGAGGTCCAGTCAGCTAGCAGCAGTGATCCCCAAGCAGGAACAGCAAGGAGAAGCTTGGGGGGACCCCTCTCCAAAAAGCCTCCTTTCAAGAGGCCCCAACTCACTTCTTCCACATGCACCCACACAGATTTAGGAACGTGGACATGCTCCTCAATTTCATCTATTTTTAGATTCTTCTTCACTGCAATAAATATAAAATTGGCAATGCTAATACACCACAGCAGACAATATTTCAGTCTTTAGCATACAACTGTAAACAGTGGCTAGGTTTAAAAAAAAAAGTTGAAACTTTTTTTTAACCATGAGAGACAGAATTCTTAAGAGCAGGGCATGAGCTGCTCAAAATTTGTTTTGTTGGAGGTTTTTGACAAAAGATTCAGGTTTAGGCAGGCAGATGTCCTCAACAGTCCAAATACACCCAAGGTGGTAGCCAGAGCACTGCCCATGGCAATCTAAAATATATGGGCAGCAAAACAACCTGCCCTGGGACACCCTTGGCAGTACATCTTCATTTGGGATAAGACCACAGACATCTTTATAGTTTCATCACTGGCTGCCATTTATCTAGTGCAGCAGGAATGAGTGGGCAAAGGAATTAAAATTTGCTGGGAGAGGAACAGAATGCTCTGCTAGCTGCCTGGAAAGTTGGCCCCTTAATCACAATGACAACTAGGACATTTCACTTGGACAGTGCATCAAATTTATATATTTTAAAAAAAAGTACAAAGACTAATAAGCAATAAGTTCTCCCACTAAACAAACTGGGATATTAATCAAAGAATATAGATGAACACTTTTTGCCTAAAGCAGTGCAAAGAAATCTGGCAAGAAATGAAAGTGGACTCAATATCTGCATGTTAGTAATGGGGAAGAATTTTATTTAAAAGGCTAGTGGTTCAAATACTATTGCTTGAATAGCTCTGGTAGATATAAAATGTAGTAACATCTGAAGTTTATACACAAAGCAAAGGAGCTGAAGGCCAGCTCACAAAAGGAATATTTGATCCTCAGTCAGGAGAGGAGCTAAAAGCGCATGCTACAGTAATAACCTAATGGATTTGTTTGGACTGTAACGCCACCCTCTGACAAACAGAATACCTGGATAGGAAACACACAAAATCCTGGCTTAATTAATTCTCCTCTTACAACTATACCTCACCTAAGAAAAAGCCTGTCTTGACAAAGTCATGAACCTGGGCTACTAAAAATAAAAAAATTTTAATATAGTAAACAAGTTTAGTAAACACCATGTGTATGAGGGTACATCAAAAAGTCTCTGGAAAAATGAAATCATAATATGAATCTTTCCATGAACTTTTTGAAGTACCCTTGTATTTTCTGTTATTAATGAAGACATGATACATTCAGAAAAGTATTTTTTTAAAAAAGACAAAAAAACAAAACCAAAATAATTCCTAGAAGCTTGCCAAGAAAAAAATCAGCCCAAGTTCTATCCTTCTCAAACAGAAGAGAATCTTAGCACAAATCTGCAACCCTCCTCCAACACACAAAAGTACTGCCATTTGCCTTGTAAGTATAATATAAAACACATAACTTAGTTATTAAAATTGAACATTAAGCAGAATCACTGCAGAGCACATTTTGATGGGTTACTTCAATACCCACCTGGTCCAGTTTAAAATATCTGCTTGCAGATCCAGTTCATACATATTCCATAGGTATACTGAACAATAAACCATCTGTTGTCCCATTATTTTTTTAAAATGGCAGTTCTTATAGCTCAACAAACATTAAGATTATAAAGCTCTCTCTTGAAACAAATTCTCAGATGAAGATACATTAATGGGGAACCTTAAAAAATTAAATGAACTTAGTTTTTTACTAAAATGGTGGGATAATGGTAGAATGTCTATTGTGAAGAGCAGTTTCATGTGTTTCCCCATGGAAAAAGCCAAATTTTTCTGAACTGACATAATTTAAAAACTAAGCCAATAAAAAAATAAAATGTACACCTTAAAATACTATAAAACTTGAAATAATATCAGGCATTATGGAATGGAAAACAGAGTTCTGATTTTTTTTTTCTAAAAAAGGAAACTGTAACAGGTTTTAAGGGAAAAAGAAGCAAACCAAACCAGAACTCTGAATATGAATAGCACTACACAGACTCTAGCACAGAACACACACCACACAAGAATGAGTTATATATTAGTAATATAATGAGAGTAAGTGGCTGGGGACTTATACTTGCAGCAACAGAGCTCCTAGGTCAAAAATGTGTTAAAAGTTTGTAATGTTAACAAGGACCAAAAAAAAAAAGAAAAAAAAAAAAAAAAAAAGGAATGAGGGAAAAGGGGAGGAAAGGCTGCATGCATGGGTCTATTATAAACATGATATTCAGCAGCATAAAAATAATACCCTCCAAAGAGTCCTCTGAATGGGGCAAAACCTATTTTTCACTGCTAAGTATGGGAAAGATCAAGAGAGTGGAACAAACTCACTTGTAACTACAGCATCTCCCATATTTGAATGACAAGCATGTTCAATCTGATGTTAAACATTGAGTATACATATGAGTAAAGCAAAATGAAAACAAAAGGCTAAATTATAAACCTTAAAAGCTGGAAAAAACCATGTTTTAAAGCCAAGTAGGTGTGATTCTGATGATTATTATATACGACATAATCCATAGAAAGAAAGGCCAAGTAAAGAATCTTCATATTATTCAGTATTTAGGTTCGATGCTGTCCTACGAAAAACAGCAATAATTCAATAAATGTGTCACACATACAACTAAAAAGTCCCCTCTGGTTTCAAATGAATTTAAACAACAATCTTCCTTGGCTAATTTTTTCCTGTGTCAAACAAACCTTCTATGTACAAGACCAGTTTAAATCCCTCCTCCCCTTCAAACACTAGATATGAACATCCAGGAACATTCTACAATGCAAAGTGCTTTAAGAAAGAGAAGGATTCTGTAGTGCCAGTGATATAACTGATCTGAGGAAGCTGGGATGCTATTAACACTGATGGTAGCCAGTCAGGCAATGGTGGTTTGTTTCTCCTCAGGTGTTTCCTCCAACAGCTGCATGATCAGTTCATGGAGGGGTTTGCAGATCTTTGCATAGCCCCCTCCTGTGAGATGCAGAAAATCAAACATGTCGTGGCAGGAGATGGCACCGTCCGAGTGCACGAAGCCCCCATCTATATCTAGGAGCTGCACATTGGCAAGCTTTGGCAGGGAAACCTTGAGAAGTTGGTTCACCTTGGCATTCTTTTGCCTCAAAGGATTGGGCTTCTCACCTCGAGGTAACAAGCCCTAGGACAGAGCAGAGAAGAACATTAAATAAGATTCACTTGTTTTTCTCTACCTATTTATTTGTGATTTCAGATATTCCTGGAACACTTGCTCCATTTGGCACTTTCTACACTCTTGATTTCTGAAACACTGGACTAGACTGGGCTTTTCTGGGGGTTTTTTTTGGTGGCTGGTAGATGCGGAGATCCAAATCTGTGAAGGTTTGGTGTTGTAAGGCTGTGCTCTAACTAGATTGGTTTTAATAAAAGCTGACCATTCCTTCTTAGTTTCCTCATGGGTTCCTCTTCCTCCTGTCCCTTCATTGTTGGTATTCTTCAGGAACTTGTTCTTTGCCCACTACTCTTCTCACTCTACACATTTTAGCCCAGATCTCTTCCTAGAGCTTCAGAATTACATACTAAAATTCTAGCTACAGAACAAAATTTGAATGTTCCTGGGCCCTCCCAACTTAACATGTCCAAAAGCAATTCATCATCTTTCCCCAAACTATGTTCCTTCTACATTCTCTTTATCAACTGGTCATTTCAACATCCCTGAGTCTATCATCCCACATACTTTATCTATTTATTATTAAATTACTCAGCTTTTGCATCCTAAATATTTCTCTAATCCATTTTCTTTTCTCCACCCTAATTATATATACACTGCTGTAGCTTGGGAACTTATTGCCAGTCACTTCAATTAATGTAAAATCTCCTGGTCTTCCTGTCTCCAGTGTTGTCTTTCCTTCATCCCATTCTCCACATATCTATCAGAATAATCTAGCTCAAATACACACCTATCTATTAAGGGCACAGAAAACCTACATCATAATATACCATAAGAAAGATTGAGAATGAATGTTGTCTTGATGAATCACAGCCATATAATTTCTGGTAGGATAAAACAGAGATGTGTCCTAATTTTTAACTTACATGTTAATGATAAAATTTTGAGATAGATCAGATGTCTGTCCTACTATAGAAAAGAAAAACCTGCTCCTATATAGCAAGAGCAAGGTTTTATCATCTCAAACTAGAAATGGACTTTAAATATAAAGTTCTCATTATAAAATTATTTTTAGACATCTCCAACCTTTTAGTTGGTTATACCTAATGATTCCACAGAGCAAGGTCTTATTTCACAAAAATAGATTTAGAGTATTTTACTAAAAAAAAAAAAAAAAAAAAAAATTAGGCCCTAGTAAGCAGTTGTTCATGTCTACTTTAAATTTTTTCAGCCAAATGTTGAGGCCTTGATCACCAATTTATAATATGGCTGTACAGTTCCAAGAGAACTATAGAGTATTATGACTCTGCTACCCTGGTCCATCTCCTCTCCTTGTTAAGCTCCTCAAAAATTTCATAAGATGAAGTCAATCCTAAACCCTAGTTTGCATGACTGTTATAAGGCTCTGCACCTAATAGTTAACATAGAAGAATAGCCCTTAATGCTGATATATCAAAATCTGGCTGCGATATGAGCAACCAGGAAGGACAGCCAGTGAACAATAAATACATACTTTGTTCTGACTTTCAAAGAATACCACAGCAATCAAAGTCATAAAGAATGACTAAGCCTTAAGAATAGGGCATAGACCTATTGGGATTTTTAAGTAAGAATGAGAAAAATAGCTTATGTATTTGCAGCATAGCATTTTCCTTAATATGAATGTCAAAGATATGCCATATTTTTCTCACTTTGATTTTTAGTAATTGCTAAAATATTATAATGTTAAAGGAAACAAAACCAAAAATATTACATTGCTAATCCTTTCACCATGTAATAATTGTTTTAATTTTGTTTCCTTTTAGCCCTCTTCCAATTGCATATATACTTTTAAGTAATTCTTTTTTTTTTTTTTTTTTTTTTTTTTTTTTTTTTTT